TGAAATTAGGCATACATTCTCAGATATGCTCAATAGGTTGATGTGACTTTATTTATTATAAAGGGGAGAGGAGGTGGGGGGGAGGGAGAGATTAGCACTGTGTCACTAGAAAGTGACAGTGATTTTTTTCTTTTTTAAAGCAAGCATCAATGAAATTTTTTTTTTTTAAAACCTATCTGGAGAAAGATATGGCTTTCTAAACTATGGCTAAATCAAGAAATAGTAGTCTCCAAAATTACAATGAAATCCCTTCCTTTGAATTAACTTTTGTTTATTTCTCACTAATACTAACTTATTCAATTCGCTGATTTACCTTGCAAATACAAAGACATACGAACTCATTCTACCAGAAGAGATTATTATAAATCAGTTCAAATAAAAATTTCCAAAAAGGGAGATAAGTCTTCAATTCAAAGAGCTCTCATATATTATAGCAGTCTCCAAAATATCATATATGAAAATATCCTGAGCTATCAAAATGTTCATATATGTTTGTCAAATTCAGGACGACAAAAAATTTTTTTAATATTAAACAAACTAAAATTACCTGGGTAGATAGGCTATTTGGAATAGTTGATCTCCATCAATTGAATGATTATTAGAAAAGTCTAGTAACTTGAGAGTCTGAAGAACATCAGTGGGCCTGCATGAAAAACAGAAATGAATTGTATTTAGGCTTTTTTTAAGGGCATTTTAAGAAGATATTTATATATTCCACTTTAATATAAATAAGGTAATACAGCATAGTAAAATCTCATCAATTTATAATTTTGGTCATTCACATTTTGCAGCAGTTTGGACTAAGCTGACATTTACCTTTATACTATAAGAGGAAAGGGGGAAAATATAAACAAAAATACATAAATATACAAAAATATATAAAAGGGGAAAAGTATAAACAAAAGGGACAATGAAGGAGGTACTGGGAGAGGGATATACATACTTAACCTAACTTCAGAAAATGAACTCTTTAAAGACTTTACAACATTAACTCTTTTGTGCAAATGGATGTCATTTATTATAAATTGGTCTAAACAATTAACAATTTATTAAAGCAGATATGACAGAAATTTTACTTGGAAAAAGTTTATTCACAAGATAATTACATATTTTTTCCATTTTTTATTTTTTCTCAATTATATATAAACAAAAAAATTTAACATTTTTTTTAAATTTTGAGCTCCAAATTCTCTCTCCCTTCCTCCCCCTCTCTCCTCCTTGAGAAGGCAAGCAAATTAAATACGTTTTCAAAGTAATAATTTTTATTCCATAATTTAGACTAACTCAGTTTTCCTCCCAATTGGTAAGATTTCAAATAAAAATATTTGAGAAATTATTTTTTGTTACTTGTTTTTCAGTTGTGTCCAACTCTTCATGACCGCATTTCAGGTTTTCTTGTCAAAGATACAGGAGTGGTTTGCCATTCCCTTCTCCAGCTCACTTTATTCATTCATTCATTCATTCATTCATTCATTCATTCATTCATTCATTCATTCATTGGGGGGGGGAGGTGAGGCAATTGGGGTTAAGTGACTTGCCCAGAGTCACACAGCTAGGAAATATTATGTGTCTGAGACCGGATTTGAACTCAGGTCCTCCTGACTCCAGGGCCGGTACTCTATCCACTGGGCCACCTAGCTGCCCCTCCAGCTCATTTTAGAGATGAGGAACTGAGGCAAGCATGGTTAAGTGACTTCCACAGCTAATAAGTGTCTAAGGCTGAATTTGAACTCAGGAATATGAGTCTTCCTGACTCCAGGCCCAGTACTCTATCCACTGTACTACCTAACTGCTCCTGAAAAATGATAAGGATAGTAAAAAATAATAAGAATAATTTTTGAATTATAATTGTAAAAGCACCACTAGAAATAAACATTAAGTATTTTAAATTCCCACAAACTAGTGGGACCCACCCATAAAATGGTGACTTTAGAATTTAAACATACCATTCCTACCTTTCTGAAATTGTAATATCATTAGATGCAAGGTATAATTCTTCTAGAACTGGCCATCCTTGGGCACACCACAGAACCTATTGAGAAAATTTGATTCAGAATAAAGAGTTGTTAGCCTATCCATTTATTTTAACATATGTAATGTGAGTTATGATTTCATTTCCAATGCTTTTTACTTCCACCTCCACATGAACTCAATTTCATTACTGTTTTAGAAAGTATCTGTAGGATAAATGACACTTCTAATTTAATTAATTACATGCCATGTTTTAGGCAATAAGTACCAGTGGGAAGATGATAACATTAAAATATTAAAAAGGTATTTTAATGATATAATATGTACTATTAAGTATATGCATGCGTGTGTACACACACACACACACACTCACTCACTCAGAACCACCCAACACTGTTATTAATGGACCATTAAGAGATATCCTAAGGTAGATTAATACTGTTAAAAAGTTACACTAAAGAGACAGATAAAATATATTCTTATTTGATACAGTGTGTCATACCACTAAAGGAACACTTGCAAGAACTAATAAGAAATTAATCATCAATACCTTTTCTTAACTGTGTGTTTATATAGATCACCTGTCACAAAAATACCTAGCCACACCTATTCCTCACATACAAATTCCAATAAACTTAATTCTCTCACTTCTTAACAAACTGCTAGGCTCTACAGTCAAATGAGTTGTGCTATTTCAATTTTTAATTGATAAATTTAAACTAAGAGACTAGCTAAATCATAATCGCATTATGTTTGAGCTTGGCTTTCATTATCTTTCACCTACACATACTCCTATTCCAAACACTATTTCCATTGAGGGCCCTGATATTTTTCCAAGTACCCAGAATGGCAACCTCAAAATCATCTTTGACTATTCTCCTTGTTCTTCACCTCCACAGGCAATCAGTTGCTAGTTAACTATTGTCAATTCTACCTCTATAATATCACACAGATCTATGCCCTTCTTTTCACTTAAACAGCCATTGTTAAGTTCAGGCACTCATCGCATCATACTTGGGATTACAGCAATAGCCTAATTGGTAGGCCTTATTCTAGTCTCTCTCCTCTCCAATCCATCCTTCATGGAGCTGCCAAATTGATCTTCCTAAGGAATTGGTCTATGTCACTCCCCTGTTCAAAAACCTTAAGTAGCTTCCTATCGCCTCTAAAAAACACAAACTTGACCCTACCATTTAAAATCTACTACAATCTGGTTCCCACCTACCTTTCTAGCTTTATATCAAATTATTTCTCTTCATGTATAAACTCAGTCAAACTGGACTACTAGCTATACCCCAACCTCAGCACGCCATTTCCCACCTCCATGTATTTACAAAAACTATTCCCTCTCACCCCTAGAATACAGCTCCCTCCTCAACTCAGCTTCTTAGAATTCCGAGCTTCTTTCAAGGCTCAGCTCAGATACTACCTTCTCCATGAAATCTTTCTCGATCCTTCCACACCAGTTGTTATAATTCTCTATCTCCTCAAATGATCTCAATCTCCTCAAATGATCTCACATCTCCATGCGTATTATACTGACCTCCCTGAGTGTAAGTTCCTTGACTATAGGGACTATTTTGATTTTTGTTCTGAAAATCCAGACTATAGACTGTGTTGCAAATAGCAGATGGTTAATAAAAGGTTTCTTAAAAATTAAATTTGATGATTTAAAAAGGGAATTTTCAAGGAGTGCTAAAAAACCAATAAAAATTCCAGTGAGAGAAGTATATTAATGCAAAACTGATTCCATGGAGCGAACCTCCTATTTACCCTTCAAGTTAAGCTACAAATTGTATCCAACTAACTGTAGTATACTTGACCTTTAAATAGTGGGAATTCTATGCCCCTCTGCCTACTCAGCTCCTGCACTAAAATAAAGTTGCTGACAACATTTCAATTAACTTCAGACTCAACAAATAATGAGAAAGAAAGGTGGGGGCTGGGGAGAAGAGGGGAGGACAGGATGGGAGAGGGAGACAGAAGAGGAGTTATCAGTTTATTTACATAATTTTCTATTTAACCAGCAAAACCTTTAATCACTTTTTTTTTTTTTAAGGCAGTTGGGGTTAAGTGGCTTGCCCAGGGTCACACAGCTAGTAAGTATCAAGTGTTTGGTCTGAGGCCGGATTTGAACCAGGTCCTCCTGACTTCAGGGCTGGTGCTCTATCCACTCTTTAATCACTTTTAAATACCAAAACTTTAGAATACCTTCTCTCTATAAGGCATATGAATAATGATAGATTTATATAACCAGTGGCCCAAGATTTATTACAATGGTGACCTGACAACAGCATTTTGTTTGACATCCCTTTAAAAGATCATAGGATCATGGATCTACAGCTTGAAGGACCCTCAAGGATAACAGAGTCTAATCCTCTTATTTTCCAACTGGCAACCAGGGGTCCAGGCAGTTAAATGACTTGTGCAAGGCCCCACAGGTAGTATCAGACACTAGATTAGAACGAAAATCCTTACTCTAAACCCAGTGCCCTTCCTAAAAATTGCTCCATGCCACTTTCCATTCTTGTGACTGTGATGAAATGAAAATATTTCTACTTAAGTACATAAGTATCACATTTTTTTTAAGTAACCTATTAAAATAAAAAAAAGACTTGCAATTTCAAACTACTACCAATATATAAAACATGCTGTAAAGTAGATTACCTCAGTCCACGTTATTCCTGTTCGATTAAGCACTAAAACCTTCAATGCAGAAAATGTACATGATGGAGATGGTGAATCACAGGAAAATTTTAGCTTATTTTCACTGTGTAGAAAGAGTAAAGCAGTGTGTTAATTTCAATTAAATATGACCAAAGGAATCATTCAATTAAATTGCCAATTTGGAATGTAATACTAGGGCTTTGGATTGTCTTGTGTACAAATGAACTTCATTTTTAAAGAAACCAAAGGACCATAGAGTTTTATACCTTAAAAATTCTGTTTTCAGAATTTAACTTCATGGTATTTAAAATACAGAAACTCTTTCTGGGGCCTGGCTAACTGTTCTGATGTGTTCATTTCATAGTACAAAAGATATAATTACTTTAAGGCCAAAAAAAGTGACTCATTTTTGATAAACAGTTTCCCCAATAAGTTTTAAAATAAAGTCAGGACCTAACTAGTTCCCCTACTCCCAAAAGCACCAATAGGATAAAAAGCAGTAAATACTGGCTTAGTTTAATTGCTTTCTGATTCTGTTTCTTTGCCTTTATAACTGAAAATAAAGATACCAGAGAAGCCCCAGTCCTTTTCAATTACTCTAAAAACAGTTTTTTTATTATTTATCCTACCTGAACAAAGCTAGAAGAGGCAGCTAAACAATGAATGGCCGAGTCAGGACCCAAAAGGATAATAGCTTACATTATTGGATCCAATCTAATAAAATGAAAATAATGGGGATAAATAGAAAAGTCTAACACCTCAGTTCAGAAAACCAGCATCACAAATCTGAGATGGGGAGGTATGGATAACCACAAATAACCACCAGAAAAAGATTATAAACTGCATACATCAACAATACAATATGGCAACCAAAAAACAAACAAACCCTAATGTAATCTTAGAGTACGTTAAGAGAAGCGTAAATATCCAGTGAAAAAGAAGTGACAATACTCTTGTACTCTGACCTGGTCAGAACACATCTGTAGTATTTTGTTCAGTTCCATGTGCCACATTTTAGGAAGGACAGTAATGAGCTATACAGTGTTAAAAAGAGGGTGATCAGGACGACAACCATTTACCCTTGGAAAGATTTAGGAAGAACATGCTGGCTATCTTCCAATACTTTAAGTGCTGTCATGTGGAAGAGAGGTTTGACTTGTTCTGCTTAGCCCCAAAAGCTAAGGAACAAAATAGTGGAAATACTTTTGCAATATGGAACAAAATGGTGCCATATTTTTAGTTCAGATAAAGAAAAACTTGCTATCTGGTGTGATGGGCTGCCCCTGGGGACTAGGGAGCCCCCCAAATAAGACATCTTCAAGTAAAGGCATGGATGATCCCTTGTGTGGATGTTTTAGAAGGGATTATTCTGCAGATATGGTTGCATCAGATGACCTCTGAAGTCTCTTTCAGCTGTTAAGATTTTATGATTCTGAACAGAAACTTAGAAAGAACTACCCTTTGAAAAACATAGCCCATGTTTCCAAAGAGGAAAAATGGTGGGTCAAATTACACCCATAGTTGATCTCACTCATCTCTCATTTTCAAATACAATTAATTTCATGTCTATTGTTGAATTATACCTGAACAGGACAGATGTGATTCACCTGTATATGCAAGTTGGTTCAGGTTTTAAAGGGGAAGCCTGGTTGAGGCACTTGGAAAATCTGGTTCTACAAACATTCTGGATGTACTACACATATGATTTTAATAAAATAAATTAAAAGTTGTTTAGCAAAAATTTGTTATTAGGCTTCATTAATTAGAGTTCCATAATGAAATCATTCTTATTGCTATTTATAGGGCTCTAAACAACTATATTTGAAAAGCTTTTTCCCATATAGGCCCCAAAATATTTTGCTACCATCTCATCTATTAAACCTGTAAAAATTCAATTAATCAAAATTCAATTAATTATTTCATTAATTTAATCAGCCCAAAATTTAAGAAAAAAATTGTGACAAATCCACCTCCTCCGCCACTCAATATAACAGACATAGCTCCAACTACATAGAAATTTAAACTATAAAATTAGCCTTAATTGATGGACCAACAAATTATTAGTGAGCCCAGGTATATATCTATCCAGAAGTCTAAAATAAGCAACATTCCCTTAAATTATAGCTTATCTTAGATAAAACTAAGACTTAATACTATCAAAATTTCTGCAAGATTACAACCTAAAGGAATCAATACCATTACCACCACGAGGCACTATGAGGCACTATGTGCACATTGGACACAGATTAGGATTTGTATAGAATATTAACTAGCAGGGAACAGAAAATTTATACCTGAGATTAAGAACTTCCAGATATTTGAGCTGATCAGCAATGAAGGTCACCTCATTCCATGATGACAAGAGATTTTTTGACAAATCTATCCTTCTGATATCTGAGAGTAGATGTTAAGAAACACTCACTTCCATTGATAAGAAAGACCCCAAATACATCAAAATATTTATTGTAGCACTTTTTCTGATAGCAAAGAACTAGAAACAAAGTAATACTTATGGATTTGGGAAAGGCTAAACAAACTGTAGATTCTGTAATGTAAGAGAATATTACTGTGCAGTAAGAAAAGATGAATACAATAAATACAAAGAAATATGTAAAGACATCAACTGAAGAAGAGTAAAGTAAGCAGAACCAAGAAAACAATATACACAATGACTACAGTCATATAAATGGAAAGGACAACAATCACACACATAAAAAAAGAAGAAACCAAAATGAATGTTAAAATTACAAGGTTGACCCCAAAGAAGAGAAATGAGAAGACATCTTCCACTCTTTTGCAAAGGGAGAAAGGAGGATGAGGTTCATGGATATAAAACATTTGCTAAATTGATATAATACAGTGATCAGTTTAGCTGATTTTTTTTCTTTAAAAAATATTTTTTATCCTGGAGCTGGTTACCAAAATGAACAACATCCTTGATGCTTTTTATCTATAGTACTGCCAAATGCATGAGTGTCTGCTCTGAGCTCCTAACAGTGATGCGCCTGATGCAGTGAGGAGGAGTTAGTAATGTTGGGAGACATACTCACTGCCAAATTTTGCAAGTCTTGTGTGTTTCTTTGAATTTAGTTTCTGAACCTTTCTGTTGTCTCTAGAAGAACCTAAGTAAAGCTGTGAACAAAGTGTTAGACAGTGTAGTACAGCATGTTATAACAAATTCAGATAAGATTCAAGTATCATTTTGTCTAGAATGGTCAGGGAAGGCATCAACCCAATTCTACCTTCCAAGCATTTAGTAAGCATCTACTAAGTGCCAGGGACACAAAGACAAAAATGAGACAATCGCTACCCTCACAGAATTTACATTCTACTGAAGGGTACAACAGACACACAGAGATAAGTAAATATGAGATACACACACACACACACAGACACACACACACACACAATTGAGAGCAGGGGTAGACCTGTGATCTGCAATCACAGTGCAATAGAAAAAACAGTGGCCTCAGAGTTAGAGGATCTAGATTCAAATCCTACCTCTGACATCTGTCAGAGACATCTATTTAACATCTCTGTGGCTTTGGTCAAATCACTTCAACTCCCTGGACTTCAAGTGAGCACAAAATCCCAATCCAGGAACTGTATTAGAGTGACAAAATCCAAAGACCAATAAGATCTCAGTCCAGCTACCTTACCCAGGACAGGTCACAGAGAGTGGGACCCCAAGCTCATCCATCCTATCACAGGATCACAAACTATGCTTCAGTGTCTCTCAGACTTAATCTGCAGGAGGGGACAGAACCAAGAAACTATTATCAGTCATACTTGTTGGCTTCTCTATTCCAGAATTAGAACTGAGAGTTCAGAATGGCTTCTTGAAGCTCTCTACCTGGACCCAATGTGGAAAGAGAAGAGTAACAAAAACTCTAGCAATTACAGAAAGAAAACTTTGAAAGAAGTTTTACCTACCAGAGAGGATGAAGACATAAGCAAATAAAAGAAAATTCCCAATAAATGAAGAAATATCAGGCGTTAAAAAATCCTAAGATAAAATTTCAGAAGAAGAAAATAATTTCACAGTAATTATAACAAGAACTATATTTTTTAAAAAATGGATTAGCCACAAGGACTCCAAAAGTTGAAAGAAGAAATAAAGAAAGAGTTGAAACAAAGAATAAAATTAGAATTCTTAAGGAAAAACTTGGAAGGAGAATAACAATTTAGAACAGAAGGTGTAAAAATTTATCCAAGTGGTAGACATCCAGAAATACTGACTAAAGAGAACTAAACTCAAGAGTTAAATGAAACAGAGAAAACAAAACAAGAAATATTAGAACAAAGTTGAAGACTGAAAAATTAGACCACATGAAAATACTCTAAAAAAAAACTGAAATGGAAAAAATTCTCCAAATCACTAATAAGTAGGGAAACATAAATTAAAGCAACTCTGAGATTTTGCTTCATACTTATCAAATTGGTAAAGTTGACACAAAAGTAAAATGACAAATGTTGGAGGTACTTTGGGAAAATAGACATGTGAATGCACTGTTGGTGGACTACAAACTGGTCTAGCCAATCGGAAAGCAATTTGGAACTACCAAAAAGTTACCAAATTGTACATGCCCCTTATCTGAGCAATAACCCCATTAGGCTAATACCACAAAGAGATCAAAGAAAAAGGAAAATGACCCATGTGTACAAAAAAAGTTTGTTTTTTTTTTGTGGTGTTTTTTGTAGTGGCAAAGAACTAGAAACTAATGGAATACTCATCAACTGGGGTATAGCCAAACAAATTATAGTATATGAATATAATGGAGAACTATTATGTTATAAACATTAAAAGATGATTTCAGAGAAACCTAAGAAGATATATAAATTCATGAAGAGTAGAGTGAGAACAACCAGTAGAACAGTTTATGTAACAACAGCACTATAAAGACAAAACAACTTTGAAAGACTTAAGAACTATGATCAATGGGACAACCAATTACAATTTCAGAGGACTGATAATTGAAGCATGCCTATCTCTACCTCCTGATAGAAACATAATGCACTCATGGTACAGAACGAGATCTTTGGACATGAGATTGCAAGAATTTATTTTGTTTGTCTATGTTTATTTGTTGTAATCTACTAGTCACCACCTGAATGAAACCCCATATTAGTGTAACAAAGTCCAGAGCTTCCAGATGAAACGGAAAAAAATACTATAAGCAGGCAGGATGAAAGAGATTAAGTAACAAGTAACCACAGTAAGGGTCAAAAAAAGTTATGTAGCAAATACTGTAAAGGAAAGCAAAACTTAGAATAGGAAATCCCAAGAGGCAAAAAAAACAGACTAGCAACTAAGAATAACCCTGAAAAGCAGAGGTTTCTTTTTTTTTTCATTCTGAACTTAAGAAATAAAAAAAGCATTTCCATAACACAGTAGAATAGAAAAAAAAAAAGATGACTGCACATGAAAGTGCAAATCTATCATGAAATAACTTACCCAGAAAAGTTGAGTATAATCCTGAATGAAATGAAAAATGGATATGTAACAAACTGAAAGACTTTCACGTATCTGTGACAAAAAAAACTCAATGGAAAATTCAATATATAAGATCCAGAACAAATATAAGAAGTAGATGACTTCTAAGCATTCCTGATGAGAAAACTAGAACTGAGTAGACTTTTATGCATAAACACAGCAGACAAGAGAAAGCTTTTACACACACACACACACACACACAAATTTATACATACATATACGTACTACACACACACACACACACACACATATTTAAACAATCTAAAAGGGCTAAACGATGATCAAGTGCTTTTATCCTAAGTAGAGGAGTGGGTGAGAGGTAAAGGGTCCACTGTCAGTAAAGAATCCTTTAAGGGTCAAAAGGGAAGAAAAAAAGCAAATTCTTTGATTTTGTTCAATTTTGGTTTAGTAAAGAAAAGGGATTACAAAGAGGAATATACTGGGAAGAAATGAAGAAAAAGAGGGGAGGGACTTACAACTTCTTACCCTTGGGACACATTTGGAGAAAAATACACAAACATGAGAAGCTGAGGGACAGCACCTGTGGGCTGTGGTCTGACATCAAAAGGTATATGATCAACCAGAAGTGGGAAAAAGAGTCATATCTGACACTCCCCACAATAGCCAATCATGGCCTGACACAACCGTACTTACCTTTATCCAGCAACACTCAATGACTCTGCCACTTCCTTCCCCTGTGTAAGCTCCCAAACTTCCCAGTTTTGAATCAGGCAACAGTATATCAGGGAAATTTTATCCTAAGCACCCAGAGCAGTAGCACCTTTAGTTAAACTGGCATAAAAATAATACACTGGGGAGAACAGTTAAATACTATGAAATCTCTTTTGAAAAGAATTTTTTGGTGGCAGATGCCATCTTAAGATTCCAATGACAGATTATTACTGAAAAAGGATACTAGGACATGTTTGTGCAATTTCCCCTTTGTTGCCAGCACAACTCACTGCAGAACTCCAAACAGAGACTTCTTGCAACCTGTTCAGCTGACTGAATAAAAAATACATGGATTATATGCAAAGTTAAAATAAGGCCAGTGAGTATCATAGAACCTCACATCCAAAGTCCTTTACTATTCTTCAACACAAAATGATCCCTCGGGGCAGCTAGGTGGCGCAGTGGACAGAGCACCGGCCCTGAAGTCAAGAGGACCTGAGTTCAAATCTGGCCACTGACCAAACACTTGACACATACTAGCTGTGTGACCTTGGGCAAGTCACTTAACCCCAATTGCCTCACTAAAACAAAACAAAACAAAACAAAAAACAAAAAACAAACAAAAAAGATCCCTCAAATTCACCTGCCATGCAGTTATCCCATAAGTATATAAACTGTCAGACTGAAAAAAAATGGGGAAAAAGGGGACTACAGAAGAAACAGCATAGCAAGGAACAGCAATAAGGGTCTCGACCTCAGGAATGGAGAAACTAGGCAGCAAAAATAAGTAGACAGGATCTCAGTCCAAGAAACTGAACAGGAAGTTTTTCTCTGTGCTCTCAATATAAATACCACCCTAAAGTTAAAACAATATCACTGGAAATCATAGACATTATTTTTACTTTTCCTTATGCAAACTCTTTTTCTTAGTTATCCAAACAAAAATTTAATCAATTGTTACTGTAATGCCTTAAAGCACATATACTATTTCAATGCCTTAAAGCATATATACTATATTTCAACATCATGATTTCTAAATTGCTTCTAATCTAATCAAGAAACTGCCAAAAATATAAAAAGCCAGCCTTCAAGCCAAGAATGAGTAAATGAATAGAGCATTTATTAAACACTTATGATATGCAAAACAACAGTGCTAAGCATTAGAGCTAAAATATAAAAGGAAGAGAATCTCTAGAGCTCATATTTTAATGTGAGAAGAGAAACTGTCAAGTGGGAAAAACTCTTTACATCAAATATAACTGATAAAAATTTAATACATAAGGAACTACTGACACAAAAGACCAACAGCTGTTCGCCAACAGATATCATAAAAAATGTGAACAGAGTTCTGAAAAGGAGATCTGAGTTTAAGTATGCACCTCTGACACCTGATGGCTGTGGGCAATTCACAGTACTCTGAGTCAGAAGAATGCAGCCCACTGCACTTCCAACTGTGGTCAGAACCAGAATAAAATGTAGTTCCTATCTGATTTCAACGTGTTGATGTATTCACAAAAAAGAAATATATAAATGTATAGTTTTCTAAGTCAATATGAGCCCAGAAGGATCCTTCTCTGTGGATTAGTAGACCCTGTTTCTATTTCAGGCTGATACTACTGCTCTAGGCAGCTCTCCAACACTAATTCTCAACTCTAGGTTGCAGAGGCAGTGATCACCTACAATGACCAGAGCTGCCTCATACAGAAATTTATACCAATGAAATCACAGTTGTAGTACCTATCCCTATTCAGGAGACCAGATATAACAATTCATATTTTTCAAATCATCTAAAGAATCAGCCACTTTAATCAATAAAAATTCCAACGTGACATGCCCCAAAGTATCTATTAAAATGATACTCACAAAATGGGGTTATTATATTAACCATTACTTCTTTATATCCACAGGAACACTTGTAAGAATTATTATTGCTGCTTATGATCTGGGGGAGGAAGGAAAATAGGTACTCCCTTTTATATACATCCAATTTTTTAATATTATCAGAGCACATGGTGTTCACTGAAGGGATATCAAATCATTAATATAATTATGTCCCTGTTTGGATATATTTAATATTTCACTTATTTGAATAAAAAGGCAAGAAACTACAATCTCATCAAGAATTTTGTTCTTTAAGTCTTTTAAAATCATTTTTAAGAAATGTACGGTCTGCACATAAGAAGCAAAGAACTGACTAATTCTGTGATCTTAGATTGGTCCACTCAAGTGTTGCTATTTCCATTTTAGAATATGCATAACATTAACATCATTATCTTCTTAATTATAACTAGGTAGCAAAGAATAATGAGCATAATTATGCAATGGTTCTGTCCAACACTGCAGATAAAAAATTGCCTGTAATTAATTAGCCTGCATCCAATATGGTTACATTTCAGCCAAAGTGGCCTACTTGCTGCATTCCAATTTCAGGTTGCCTCTTTTCAGTGTTAGTCCTCCATCCCTGGAACTCAATAACCCCTCATCTATTTGTGCTTCTTGGAATCCCAGGGTTCCTTCAAGGATCAGGTCATGTGCCACCTCCTACGTGAAGTCTTTCCTGATCTTCTTCATTGTCAGCACTCTCTTTCTCCTCACATTAACTTGTATTTCTTTTCCATTTCCATGCTAGATTCCACAGTACAATGTAAGCTCCTAGAGGGCAAACATTGTTTTTCATGTTTGTTTCTGCACAATAATATCCCAAGCATCTAACACAGTGTCTTGTACATAACAGTTATTTAATAAATGCTTTCTGAATTGAACTAAAATCTAATCTCGGGAGTGCAACCAGAAGTCACTTCTAAGATGGCATCCTCGGGAACTCTCAATGCTGCTAAGATGATTTACTAAATGCTAGCTAATAAATCAAAACTTGCAATGTGATCCTGAACATACCATGTAGATCTCAGTATCCCATTAAGTCCTATTCCTTATGGCATTCCCTCATGAAAATCTCATTTCATAAGTGAACCTTACTGTCTTTGTATAAAATCATATTTTTAACGGTTCTCTAATCTTACAGTTTAGGATGGGATTCAGGGAACTACCAGCTCTACTGCCACAGCTGGCTTACAAAAAATGAATGACAATGTGTACACCGAAAAGGGAAAATATGAAAAATGGAAGCACAAAACTATCAGCCCAGAGCAAGTGGGCAAGAATAACTGGAAATAAGAGTGCAAACAACACATGTGGTACACACATAACCATCACAATACTAGCACTCCAATAAGAGGTTTCAAACTTCTCGCTTCCTTTAGTCTACAGCTTCCTTATCAACAGTGCAAATAAAGGTATTGTCTAATCTCTCAGTGTTACCCAAGACATGGCAGACTAAATTACGGACAAAATCCTAAGCTTCTAAAAGTCTCTATACCAATTTGCCAATCAGTTAACACATTTAGGCCCTCGGGCCCATGTATTTAAAAGCAGAGTACACCATAAAAATCTAATTCATCAGCATCAATTCCTCCTACCTTTGGAATTTTTTAATAGAATCAAAGCCAACAGTTTCGACGGGTTTATTTCCAATAACAATCATCTCATTTCCATCTTCCTGTTTAGTATTTTCCAATCCATAGCGATTCTTAATTGCAGTGATAAAGTCCACTCCAAAATTTACCCGGTTTGGACGGATAAAGGATCCTCCCGTTGGGTGCCTAGATAAGGGCACAAAGGAATATACATAGAGAAAAGCAGTCTCTGAGGAAATCAAATATTTGTAGCATAATGCTTTGTAGGTTTATAGTAAATTAGAAAGCATAGCTGGGGGAAATAACAGGAATCAATATGCCACAGCAGACAAAGTTCAATTCTAGCAGTTTGGAACTATAAATTCTTACTGAGTTTTGAAACTGAATTGCCATGTGACCTTAGGTAAATCCCTTCACCTACATTTGTAAAGCAAACTACTGTATATTTATTTCAATAGGAAATTATTAAGGATGCAATATTCAATTAGTACAAGTATTCTGAAAATGTGATGGGACTGCAAAAAGGTACAGCAAGATAGAATGATGAAAAATAAGAACAGTGCCCATTTCTATAGCAATTTACAATTTTACAAAGTGCATTCCAAACAGTCCTGTAGTACAAGTATTATCACTCAAATTATATACGGAAGAAACCAAATCACAGAAAAGGTAAGTATATAATTCCCAAATCATACAACTAATTATAATATACCATAATGTACATAGTACACTAAGTGTAGGATAGTTAAGATTATCTGTGTCTTTAAATCAAAATCTAGCATACCACAATCATTCCCACAAATTTGGATTGACAGTTTGCTATGGCTTTTTAATATTTGTCAGGGTAAAATAGAAACACAAATTCTATCACCATATATTACTTTTACTTTTAATAAGCTTGGGGGGAGATTTTAAAAGACTTCTCACAATAAGTATCATGGGATGCTGCATTAAATTTCAGTGAGATATTACTAATATTTATACTAAATATTTATTTTATATTACTAATGTGATACTAAATATTTCATGATCGTCAAAGTGGCATTATGGAATAACCACTTTGGAGCAAAAAAAATATAAAAATCATATGAATCACCAAAAATGATGTGAAGCTGTGAGTCCCAAAGAAAAACGTTTCAACTTATCAGCTTTTATTTTCCAAAAGCACCATAGTATTTTTAAAATGGGAAAACAAAATCCTAGTATCACAAAAACTGACCATAAACTAAGTTTCTGATTATGAAAATAACTTATAAAAGAAAATTATGTGATTTTTCCTTTATTATTTTGCAACAGTTTTAGTTGGCACAATCAGTTATTAGATCCTGAAAATTATTATTAGAATGAAATGATTTTTTATATATATATGTGTATATATATATACATATATACTGCTGTTCTAGTTGTATCTTCCATCTGCATAACTTTGTCTTCTGTATTTCTTTATATTTCTGCTTGTCATTTTTAATGGTGCAATATTTCATTCATTCCAATACATTTCATTACACTGATATATCATATAATTTATTCAGTTATTCCTTCAACCACTGGATAAGTTATTTAAAGTTTTTCACTGTTATAATTAATGCTACTATGAATATTTCCATTGAAATACATATTTTTCTCCTTTTTAATTACTTCACTGGGGTATATTTCCAGTAGAAGGTCTACTGGTTAACAACTATGATCAGTTTTAAAATTTTTAATGCCCGTTGCCAGCCTGACCTCTAAAAAGATGATCACTGAGACATGAAAGGTATGATGAGTACAAGTATGTTCATTATTGAGGAATGAGTTCAGGCAGTTTATCATCTCCATCCCCAGTGGGCCAAGCAGTGGATGGGAGGTAGGAGGTAGGAGGTGAGCCAGTAGTATGGAATAGGATTTTCTCAATGTAACTGGAAAGCTGGGGAGGGGCTAGGGCAAGGGGGAGGAGAATGACTCCTACAGTAGGTCTCTCCTCTTTCTCTTGACAATTATAGTTGCTGATAAAAAACTTAAAATCTAAGCATAGTTTAACACAATGCCTACCACACAGTTGGCCCTTAATAAATGTTTATTGACAGAGGACAATCCTTGCTGAGATTTGCTGGCTCTGACAAAACCTGGGTGCCAAATCCACAGAAATTTCAAAAAGTTACATACTGCAAGATTTTTTGTAGGGAAAAGTTGGTTATGTAGCAATTTATAATGAAACTTAGTTATTCTGGAAAGCTTTTAAAGATAAACATACTTAGAATCCTTTCAAAGAGCTTATTCATCATGACAGAAGAAAATACTGACTTCTGTTATATGTGCACACAGTAAAACTTGCTTTAACAGTTTTTTAAACTGGCCCTGATACATTTGTTTTCTCATCAGAAAATCAAGAGGTAGATAAACTGACAGATATGTTCTTGAAAATAATTTCCACATATACTATATTGAGTTTGATTCCCTAAAAGAAGTGAAATTTCTGAAGGTCAAAATTAGCCATCCTCAGGGGCAGCTAGGTGGCGCAGTGGATAGAACTCCGACCTTGGAGTTAGGAGGACCTGAGTTCAAATCCGCACCTCAGACACTTAACACTTACTAGCTGTGTGACCTGGGCAAGTCACTTAACCCCAATTGCCTCACCAAAAAAAAAGAAAAAAAATTAGCCATCCTCTCCTGCCCTTTTAGGTGATCAAAAGGTACTACTATTGATCTTAATTTTTTTTATTAAAAATTATTTTAATATAACATGGGAGGTGTTAGTGTTGCAAAGGAGGATACAAGTAGCCACCAATATTTTTGTGCCCTCTGTTCTCTTCTCCCTTTATCTCAGGATTTAATCAGATATACCTTAATATAACAATTAGCTTTGTTTTTAAGATTAGGGTAACATAATGGTCACTCAAGTCCCCACAGTCCCCATCTCTGCATCCTTATGAAGTTAAGTGAAATTTAGGCTACAAACACAATTGCTCAGAACTCCCAGTTAGGAGGATCCCTAAAATGGAGGCAAAGGTTTGGCTTTCTGCCCCAATTTCAATTTATGTTTATTACTAGCTAATTTGCTGTAGCAAAGAACTGGAAACAAAGTATATGCCCGCTGACTAGGGAATGATTAAACAAACTGTGGTACAGGAATGTAATGGAATATTACTGTGCTATAAGAAACAGGGAATATATGAATACAGAAAAGCATGTATTTGCATGAAATGATGCAGAATGAAGAAAGTAGAATCAAGAAAACAACATACACAATGACTACATCAATGTAGTGGCAAGAATAACCACCACAAAACAATAAAATAAATGTGGAAAAATTACAGAGAACAAGTTTACCCCAAGAAAGAGATGAAAAGATACCTCTCCCCATTCCTTTGCAGAGGTAGAGGGAGTGGGGGAAGGTTTTTTTTGGGGGGGAGGGGAGGCAGAATTCCCAAGGGTGTGGAACATTGCATATATTCCCAGATTCTTTCCATGTTCTGATTGGTTTTGCTCATTTTTTTCTAACGTGTTCTCCCTCTTTTTCTTATTTCTTTTAAAAAAATTCTTTGTTATATAAGATGGCTTCTCAGGGAGGAGGAAGGGGGTGAGAGAAGAATACAGGCAGAAAATCAGGCAATATAAAAATAATATATATGAATTTAAAAATGCTTTTAAAAAACTCCAGGGTAGGACTCAGTTCTATCTTCTGGCTCAACTATCTTGATAGTCCAAAAGCATTCCCAAGGCTCATAAAGGAATTCCCTGTGGTTCCTTCTGAACCACAAATTTTAAGAATGCCAGTCAGTTCCCAAATCCTTTTTATTTCTATTTACTATTTATTTCTACTATTATTTATTACTATCCATTTCTATTTAATTTTTAGTTTTTACAATATACCAAAAGAGTATCTTCCACTGATCTAATACGTTTCATCTAAGAATCTTAAAGTACTTTTTAATAATCTTTCACAGCTACATATTTTAGACACAAACCCAGAAGAAGAGAATGACTCCAAAACATCTACAAGCAAAGCCTCAAAGATGAACACAGTCTGGGCAAAAATTTAATTAGAATTCCTGGAAGAGAAGAAGCAAGAATTTAAAAAAAAGTTGGTTTTTGGTCAATGAAATGAGAGTGCTAGAGGAAAACACTGGAAAATAATTAAGAGGTACTGAAGAAAGAGACCTTGTTTAAACCACAAATTCTCTGAAAATTATGAAAAAATAACTATGAGACAACAAGAAATATTAAAAACAAAGTAAGGAAGTCATAAAAATAAAATACAATACAGGGTATCTTACAGACAAAATAACTGACCCAGAAACAAATTAAGGAGAAAAAAATTTAAGAATCATTGGACTACCTAAATTATGACCAAAACAAGAGTCCAGACCCAACCGGTTTCAAGAAATCTTAAAAGAAAACTGCCCAGATTTCCTAGAACCAGAAGGCAGAGTGGAAATAAAAGGAATATAATGGTCACCTCCTGAAACTCCAAAAAGGAATACTTCCAGGGAACATCATACCCCAATCCAGGGCTTCCAGGTCAAAGAAAAAACACTGAAATTTAATTTTTTAAGAAGAAAAATAGTCCTAATGTCAATAAAGACATTTCAATCATCAGTACAGAAGGAATCACATCACAGGATTTTTTTTTACACTAAGAACAATAAACTATAATTCAATCTTATCACTTCTTTTAACAAAATTTTTTTAAAAAGTGGGTAATGTGATTGAGCAGTACTGATCTATAATTTTTTGTCCAATTCATATGATTTGGTTTAAAAGAACAACTGAAAATTTCTTCTGCTTAGGACCAAACTAATGAGAAGTGAAGTTAATTACCTAAACCATACATCTCATCCATCCAAATGACAGTAGCAGAAGCAGGAGAACAAGCAGAAGCCCTAGACAGCTGTGTCTGGCACACAGCTGTTTCACAAATTTCACATTTGTGACTGTTTCACAAATACAGTGTTTCAGATAAACTTATGACAACAGATAAGCAACATTAAATATGTTAATTAGAAACTAAAGTAATTAAGGTACTAAAGTTCAAGTTATATGAAGAGAGAAAAGATTTCAGAAAAAAACAAAGTCAACTACAAACTCTGCCTCAGACACTTACTAGCTGTGTGACCCCGAGTAAGTCACTTAATTGTTGTTTGCCTCAGTTTCCTTATCTGTAAAATGGGGATGATAACAGCACCTACCTCCTGGAGTTGTTGTGA